AACGGAGGAGAAGTGGAGTGTGCAAAGGAGGGAGTGAAAGGGAGTGTCATGGAAGCCAAGGGAGCGGAGTTTCGGGAAGAGCCACCTGAGTTCAAGTGCCATCAGGGGTCCAGAAAGACGAGGACTCAACAATACCCACTGGATTGGCAAGTTTGATGGTTATTGACGACCTTAAGGAGACAAGTGGCAGGAGTCCCTTACAGCACGTCACAGAGCTGAGTAGGAACAACAGCAAGCTGGAGAGAGCAAGCGTGGACCATTCTTTTGAAGGGGTTGAACGAGACGTGAGGGGAGCCATTGCAGGGCATGACGGGGTGGAGCAGCCTGGAAGGCCGACTTCCAGTGCTCCTCTGCACAGGTTGGCATTTACTGCCATAAACTTCTAGGATGGCAAGTGTAATCCATCCTTTGCCTTGTGAAAATGGGCTTTTGCAACCAGGCAGATGACTGTGGTTCTCAAGCCAAAGAAATGGAAAAGAGGCATTGCAGCAAGAGATAAAGGTTAAGGATGAATCTTTATCCAAAATTCTCCATTTCCTGGAAGTTTCACTCCTAGTTCCCACACCTGCTGGTGACAAGACCCAGTCCTGATTTCCGTGCCCAAGAGGCTCAGCCAGGGGCCAGAGGAACAGCTGCATCCTGGTGTGATTCCACCAGCCAACAGGTGGCCATCTGCCCTTCTGGGTGGCATCTTTCCAGTTCTACGGAAACTATAAAACTGAAACAACAACCAAGGGACTGCTGGGCGTTGCTGAGTCAGACCTGTGTGTCACCTGGGCGCCTGCACACCCTGCGCCAGCCTGCAAGGGCCTTTCTGGGCTGCTGTCCAGAGCGCATGTGCTGTGCTGCGGCTAACTCTCCATAAGGGCCATGGGGTGGGCCATGTCCATCTCTGCTAGAACCTTTCTCTAAAAAAGGGCATGGCTCCACTTACTATTTACTTAAAAACAATACATCTTATTCAGCTGGAGTGGTGGGCGATTGGGGATTGCTCCTTTGTTTCCCACAAAGCCCAGGCAATCCCCTCCAGGTTTGTTTGGGGTGGGCAGCGTCCAGGTGGGTAAAATAACAGAAATGCTGAGACCCCTTTGGGGAGCCAGACAGGTGCGGGGCCAAGAGGGAGAGTTTTTTTTTGCTTGGTTTTGTTTTGTTTTGTTTAAGTCAAAAAGACTTGGCTACATTTATAATCAAGGGTGGGATGCAGGGTAGAAGAAACCGAAATTTGAGTAGAGAAGACTAGCAGGGCGGGTCCCCCAGGGACAGCTGGGGAGGGGGATGTTATCTGAGAACAGATGGCAGTGGGGAGCTTGGCCTGGGTCCAGATTGTGACAGCATCTCCTGCAGAGGGGACATCTGCCCTGTGTCTGACACTGCACCAGTACTCAGCACCACTCGTGGGCCATCCCATACCATCAATGAGTGGTGACCCAGTGTGGGCCCCGGGCAGCCCCACTCCAGAGCATGTGCCATTAACCAGCACAAACCAACATACAGTTTCACAGTATCTAACCAAGGGCCCAAAGGCAATAGAGATCATACTTCTGGCCTTAATTTTCTCTTTGTGGCAAGAAGCAAATTCATCATCCCAGAGAGAGAGGGACCAGGAACTGACAAGGAGGTGTGGGGAGCATGGCCCAGGTTGGGGGAGGGTGGTGACTGAGGATGAATATATTAACCATATGAGACTTGGATAAAACAGGATACCTGGAATATCTTCTTTGACAATCTGTAAGATCATGCCTTTTCTCCAGTAGCACAGACTCATTAGACTCCTACCAGAGAGGGCCGACTGCAGCATGGAGGGAGAGAATGGAGGGACCAGAGGCAGGAGCAGCTCAGATCGGCTCTGATGAAGTGCAGGACAGGCGAGACAGGCCGAACAGGAGGGCCGGGAATAGGAGCAAATGGAGTATTTGGGGGCTGGGGTGGCTATGAGGTTGAAGAGCAGGTGCCACTTGAGGGAGGTGGCAATGAGGGAAGGACTGGAGGCTGTGCTCAGAGGGTGGAGGACCAGTAAGGGGGTTAAAGATACATGTACATTCAGATGGGATTCAAGAATACAGATATTTATAATGAAGAACCTCAACCAAGGCAAGGGAGGGTCCCTGGTGGGCTGAGTTGCTCTAGACAGAATGTTTGTGTTCCCCAAATTCATATGTTGAAGCCTAATTCCCAGTGTAGTGGTATTCGGAAGTGGGATCTTTAGGGAGAAAAGAGAAGTCTAAGAAGCTGGACGCGTGGCTTATGCCTGCAATCCCAGCACTTTGCAAGGCTGAGGCATGTGGATCACTAGCCCAGGAGTTTGAGATCAGCCTGGCCAACATGGTGAAACCCTGTCTCTAATAAAAGTACAAAAATTAGCCCAGGATGGTGATGCATGACTGTAGTTCCAGCTACTCAGGAGGCTGATGTGGGGGGACTGGTTGAGCCTGAAAGGCAGAGGTTGTAGTGAGCACTCCAGCTTGGGTGACAGAGTAAGGTCAAGAAAAAGAAAGGAAAGAAAAAAGGAAAGGAAAGGGGAAAGGAAGAAAGAAGAAAAGAAAGGATGAAAGAAAGAAGGAAGAAAGAGAGGAAGGAAGGAGGAAAGGAAAGAGGCAGGGAGGGAGGGAGGGAAGGAAAAGAAAAAAGGCTAAGGGATAGTCCTCTGGCTAGTCTTAGCTACTGATAGGAGGAATACGAGTAAACCGTGATGTCCACACGTGGATGCATCCAATTATCACCACGCAGCAGTGGGGTAGGCAGTATGATCCTCATTTGACAAGTAAGGAAACTGATTGGATGAATGACTGTTCCACAGCTAGATCTGTTCCTACTCCTAGGGGATAATAAACGGCAAGACTGAGATTTGGAATCAGACAGATGTGGCTTTGAATTCTGGGTGGGCTAACTCCTAGATGTGTGACCTGGAACAAGCACGTTGGCTCATGTCTTTTCAATAAATACGGTCCCTAGCCCACTGCTTGGCATACAAGAAGTGTTCAACCGCTGGCCCAGTGATAATCTTGACTCACTGCAGCACAGTGGGGAGGGGGAATCTTGTAACCTGGGTTCTCACCTCAGTGTGTGATCATGAGCTTTGAAACCTGCTTGAACTTCAGTTTACCCATTTGTAAAACAGGGAGAATAGCACCAACTTTGGAAGTTTTCTGAGTTGAATGCCTTAGGAGGTAGAGGTCAATGTGAGTGGGCCCAGGTCTTTTGCTCATGCTGTGTGCTCTTCCACTTTCCTGCCTCACTGCACAAATCAGCTCCCCATGCCCCCAGGACTCAGACAAGGGCCCTGCCCTCTTGCCCCATCTCATCCTGGAGAGGAGCACCCTCTTCTCAGAACAAGCATCTTACTTTGCACTTGACTTTGTTTATGGCAGCGCAGGGTAATTTACAAAGCTAAAAAGTACTTTATCAGGAGGGCCCGGTGGCTCATGTCTGTAATCCCAGCACTTTGGGAGGCCAAAGCATGCGGATGATGAGGTCAGGAGATCAAGACCATCCTGGCTAACATGGTGAAACCCTATCTCTACTAAAAATACAAAAAAATTAGTCGTGCGCGCCTGTGCTACTCGGGAGGATGAGGCAGGGGTAATCTCTTGAACCCGGGAGGCGGAGGTTGCAGTTAGCCGAGATCGCGCCATTGTACTCCAGCCTGAGAAACAGACCAAGGCTCCCATCTAAAAAAAAAAAAAAAAAAGAAACAAAAACTTTATCCTGGTGCAAAAGGGAGACTCTTTTTCCTTAGCGGATTTGCTTTAGAAAACTTGTAATCACAAATTCTTGTTCTTTTTGAGATACACGTAAATGTGTTTTAAAGCTAAGGAAGATTTCCCCCCAGTTTTACAACTCAGGAATGTATTTTCTCAAGGACTTGGGAGTCATCTCTTTGAAATGGCATCCCTGTCTCCCACTTTCGCGGGATGGTAGGAGCCCAGCTTCCAGAGAGCACCTGGCTTCAAAGTGTAAACTTACTTCCTGTCATAAAGATACGAAAAATTCATTTTTCCTTTGGATAAACGCAATTAGCAAACGCAAACGGCCACCGCATGGCCAGTCCATCAGAATTTGGGATGATCTCTGAGACAAATGGTGCAGTGGAGTCCCCTCCCCGGAGGGCTGTCTTGTTTACCTCGGGAGCATGCGTGGGGCAGGTTGCATCCTCCCGGCTGTTAGATACAGGCTGAGATTTCTGTCTTTGCAGCCTATTTGGCTGACTGGTTGCGATGCGCATCACATGCTGGTTTAATGCTTGTTGAAGACCCAAATTGCAGTGGGGTTTTGAGGATTGGCAGGTTTATTTTTCATCACAGGTCCCTGACGGTAGAAACCGGAGTGGCTGGACAGGGCCTTGGAAGAATTTGGACAGCGGGAGTAAGGACGAGGCCAACCCTCAACGCCTGCAGCATCTGCTGCGAGCGCGTACCGCGCACCCCGGGGTAACACCGCAGGTCCAGGCTGCGCCGCAGCAGCGCCCGCACAGCTATTTTTAGCCGCCGCAGCCAGCCCGGCCACGTGACAGGGTGGGCGGCACCCAAGAGCGCTCCGCCCACGGAGGCCCCGCCCACGCCGCGCCGGGAGCCGCCAGGCCGGGAGCACCCGCCACTGGTCCCAGAGTCCGCGCCCGGCGCCGGCGGCAATGAAGATCTGGAGCTCGGAGCACGTGTTCGGGTGAGGCCGGGCTGCGGGCCGCGGTGGAGCCGCCGGAACGCCGGCTCTTGTTCCGGAGCCCGGCTGGGGCTGCCAGGGAAAGGCCGGACCTCAGAGCGGGACTCGCGGAGCCCCCAGCTCGCGCCGGCCGTTCCCAGACCGCGGCCTCGGCGTCCCGGAGAGAGGCTCGCGCCGCTCCCCCACCCCGCCCGGCCGCGGGTCGGAGGTCGGGGCGAGGCGCTCGGGCGGGGGCAGGAACCTGGCAGCCGGCACTGAGGCCCTGCTGGTGGTCGGGGGCCGGGGCGGCCAGAGCCGGGGGCGGGGGCCTGGGGCTCACTGCTCTCCTGGGCGCCGGGGGTCGGGGGCCAGGAGGGGAGAGGCCTGCAAGCTAGCGCCTTTGCTGAGGTTGTCATAAACGTTCCGCGCGTTTCACGGAGGGCCCGCGACGGCCTGTGAGCTCCGGAGTAAGCTAAGGGGAAGAAGGCATTTGGGGGGCCCTGGTCCTGAACTCACTTATAGGCACAGAAGGCCTCCAAGCCAGCGTGGGAAACCGCGGAACTGTTTAAAAATGTCCCTAGGCACACGAATGGAAGTAGAGGTCATTATCTTAAGTGAAGCCAGATCCGGAAAGACAAGTATCGTATGTTCTGACTCCTAAGTGGGTGCTAAAAAATGTGTTCACATGGATGGAGAGAGTGGAACGTCAGACGAGGGAGACTCTGAAGGGTGAGGGGGTGGGAGCAGGGAGGATGATGAGAAATTGGTTGATGGGTGCAAGGTACCTTCCCGGGTAGTGCATACCCTAGAAGCCCTGATTTGATCACTAGGCAATCTATGCGTGTAACGAAACTGCACATGTACTCCATAAATTTGTGCAAATAAAAAGAAAAAAAGTGTTCTCCTGACCTAAGTGGTATCTTCTCCTTAAGTCCCTGGTCTATGACACATTGAAATTATTCTTTAATGTTTATTTACGGGAACAAAGATTTGTAAATTGACCCCACTTAAGCATTTTATTTTGGGGGAAAAATGTACTTCGTGGAAGGAAATTGTCATCCTTTGATTTTTTTTTTTTTTTGAGACGGAGTCTCACTCTATCACCAAGGCTGGAATGCAGTGGCAGGATCTCGGCTCACTGTAACCTCCCCCTCGTGGGTTCAAGCAATTCTCGTGCCTCCACCTCCCAAGTAGCTGGGACTACAGGTGCAGGCCATCATGCCCGCCTAATTTTTGTATTTTTAGTGGAGACGGGGTTTTGCCATGTTGGCCTGGCTGGTCTTGAACTCCTGACCTCAGGTGATCCACGCACCTCGGCCTCCCAAAGTTCTGGTATCATAGGCATGAGCCATTATGCCTGGCCTGGCTTTAAAAATGTAAAATTATAGTAAAATATACCAAGTGGGTTCAAAACCTGTGAAATTATTTTTCGTGAAATGTTTAGACTTGATGGAATCTAATTTTTGTATGGCCTGTAGTGTTTCTCAAGTGGGGTTCCATCAGCAACAAGGATGGGATATCACTGAGCCATCTGGGTGCCTTAGATAGTTAAGTCATTGCATACCAGGGGTGCCCAGGCAATTGGGGCTTTGTTTTCTTATGGAATGGCCAAGGTCTGCCCTAGAGGTTTGTGAAATGTCCATGGACAAGCACAAATGAATAGCCAGCTGTGAAAATTCGCAGTTGATGCTTTTGAAAATTGTTGCAGCTGGTAACTCTTTATTTTAATTTAATTTATGTTTTTGAGATGGAGTCTTGCTCTGTTGCCCAGGCTGGAGTGCAGTGGCGCAATCGGGGCTCACTGCAACCTCTGCCTCCTGGGTTCAAGTGATTCTCCTGCCTTAGCCTACCCAGTAGCTGGGACTACAGGCATCCAGCACCATGCCTAGCTAATTTTTGTATTTTTAGAGAGACGGGATTTCACCATATTGGCTGGGCTGGTCTCGAACTCCTGACTTTGTGATCCACCTGACTCGACCTCCCAAAGTGATAGGATTACAGGTGTGAGCCATTGCGCCGGGCACCCATTTTTTTAAAGCTTTACTGAAGTATACTTTACATACCACAAAATTATACACATTTTAAGTGTATAATTCAGTAAGTTTTACTAAGTACGACCATCACACACACAGTCCAAGTCCAGTCTTAGAACACTTCCATTATCCTGCAGAGGTGCCCTGTGCACATTACTATCCATTTTACCCCATTTTTCACCCCCGCCCCAGGCAACCAGAATCTGCTTTCTGTTTTCTTGTCAGGACAAATGTCATCCTGCAATATGCAGTGTTTTGTGTCTGAGTGCTTTTTGAGGCTCACCATGTGGTAGAGTGTCAGTACTTCATTCCTCCCGTCATGTCATTCATTTTGTATTCCTGGCACCCCACCTAGCAAGTGCTCAGAAGGGGTGAGGAATCTCACATGGAGACCAGATGCCCTTTCAGATGAGGGCAGCTTATTTTTAGTAGAGACTGGGTTTTGCCACGTTGGCCAGGCCAGTCTCGAACTACTGATCTCAGGTGATTCTCCCGCCTTGGCCTTCAAGAATTCTGGGATTATAGGTATGAGCCATCGTACCTCACTTGACTTTAAAAATATAAAATTATAGTCAAAATATACCAAGTGATTTCAAAACCTGTGAAATTATTTTTCATGAAATCTTTAGACTTGATGGAATCTAATTTTTTGTATGGCCTGTAGTGTTGCTCAAATGGGATTCCTTCAGCAACAAGGATGGGGCATCACTGAGCCATCTGGATGCCTTGGATAGTTAAGTCATTGCATACCACCAAAGGAATCATGGTCATCCCTGGAGCTGCGGCGGACTAGGTGCTGATTCTCTGTGATAGACTTTTGAACCTAAAAGCAAAGGGTGGTAATGGAGCCTGACAAATGTGGAATGTGGCTGGCTGAGGATGCTGTCACTGGCCTGTGGCTGGACAGGTTATAAATGATGTGGCACCATGAGCTGGCATAGCATCCAAATGACAGTACAAATTGGAAGCCTGGCTTCCTGGCTGGACTCTGCAGTTCCCTTGTTTCGTCTATTGAAATCCCTGATTGTTTTCCTTTGAGGATCATAGACCTTTATTTTTCTTTCTATACTTTAAAAAAATGTTTGTTGTGCTGTTAGGTGAACATTTGATTGGAAATCAATTTACATTTGTTTTGAGGCAGAGTCTCACTCTGTTGCCCAGCATGGAGTACCACAGCAAGATCTTGGCTCACTGCAACCTCTGACTCTTGGGTTCAAGAAATTCTTTTGCTTCAGCCTCCCAATTAGCTGGGACTACAGTTGTGTGCCACCATACCTGGCTAACTTCGGTATGTTTTTATTGACATAGAGATCCTGCTCTCTTGCGCAGGCTGGTCTTGAGCTCCTGGTCTCAAGTGAACTTCCCGCGTTGGCCTCCCAAAATGCTGGGGTTATAGGCATGAGCCACCACACCTCGCCTGCTTAATTTTTTTTTTTTTAATTTTAATTTTGTTTTGTTTTGAGACAGGATCTCACTCTGTCGCCTAGGCAGGAGTACAGTGGCTGACCTTGGCAACCTGTGCCTCCTGGGTTCAAGCGATTCTGCTGGCTCAGCCTCCTGAGTAGCTAGGACTACAGGCGTGCACCACCACACCCAGCTAATTTTTGTATTTTTAGTAGAGACAGGGTTTCACCATGTTGGCCAGGCTGGTCTTGAACCCCCAACCTCAGGTGATCTGCTTGCCTCAGCTTCCCAAAGTGCTGGGATTACAGGCGTGAGCCACTGTGCCTGGCCTTAAATCTTTTTAAGACAAACTTTTTTTTTTTTTTAGATGGAGTCTCACTCTGTTGCCCAGGCTGGAGTGCAGTGATGCAATCTCGGCTCACTGCAACCTCCATTTCCTGGGTTCAAGTGATTCTCTTGCCCCAGCCTCCCAAATAGCTGGGATTGTAGGCGCATGACAAACTTTTTACTATGGAAATTTCAGAACTGTGCAAACATGGAGAGACTAGAATACTGAGAGCCAGTGCCACCCCCACGTTAACAGTTACCCTCCGGGAGTCAGTCCAGGGTCCTCTGTGTCCCCACCCCCTCTGTGTCCCCACTCTGGGTTATTTTAGTCAAATCCCAGACATCATGTAATTTTCTCCTTCTTCATCTTCTCAACACTGCCTGTGCTTAGAGAGCCGTTTCTTACTTCTTTCCATTCCCAGCACAGAAACCAGCTTCCCTTAGCCCACTGGGCAGACACATCACACAAGTGGGGTTGGAGCGTTTAGGACGCATGTGTGTTGGGGGTGGCAGCAGGGTCTCTTGCCTCCGCATGCTTCAGGGTAGCAGATGATTCAGGGTCCTCCACCTGGATACCTGTTGCTGACTACAAGAGATGAGAGTGCACATAGAGATGTTCTGTCCCCCTCAGTGTGTAAGCCCTCTGACTTCCTTTCCTCCCCATCAACTAGCAAAATTTTCAGTTCTGCCTATCTTGGACCCTTTGTCCCATAACTCCTTTGTGCCAATTCTATCGTGGTTCTTGTCTCCCCACCTTTGCACCCTGGGGCCCTTTCGGTGACTCCTACCAGGGCAGTCTGATGGCAAGTGGCTGTTCTCATTGACCTGGCTTCTCCTTGAGACTAGGGATGAGGAAAATCAAACAGCAATAACCATTTCCTGGGCGTCCTGGCTGTTTATAGTAGGCCATGTACTAGGGATTAACATAAAGACAACAACAATAATGAATCTCATTTAAACTTTACAAACAGGAGCCAAACAATCCCACCTCTATTTTATAGACATGAAAAGAGAGGCCCCAAAAGCTCAAGCAACTTGACCTAAATCATATCCCTAGCAGAGAGGCAATATTCAAACCCAGCATTCTTAACCGGTACCCAGCAGTTCTTCCACAGTCTTAACAATTACCCTCTACTCCCCCTTGGGCCCCCTACCTCCAGAAGCCTGGCCAGCCAAGACTCACATCCTCAGGTGAGACACAACCATCAGAATTGGTTGTTTCTAAAAAACCCTTCAAAAAAATCAATAAATCCAGGAGCT